AGGTTTGAGATACATTTTAGACACCTAAAATGAGATAAGGTGCCCTCAACCTGACTGGCTTAACTTCTTCCTTCTTTCTTAAGATTCTCTTCTCTTCATGGGAATTTTAATTCAATTTTGAATGACTCTGAAATTGAGAAGAAGCTTAAGAGTGAAACTGCTGCAGAGAGTCTGTTTAAGCCTGGGGAGAGGTGGGAACTCAGTGTTGCTCTCAGCAAGTTGTTAATTCAAATAAGTGATTTAAATATATTACTGGTTATTCTTTGCCACGTGGAGTGGCAGGGATCGGTTTCTGAGTATTAAATTCCTTGTGGTAATAAAATGTAGCCAGCTCCTAGAAGGTAGATGTTTACTGAAGGTTGTTTCAACTTGGTATCAACTTCAGATACATTCCTGGGAGAATGGGCACCAGAACAGGAAATAAATCTGTTGGGCCAGTTACCTGTCCTACACATGGCTGGATTTTGAATTACTCCTCAATGTTTGGCTTGGGATCCAGGCTGTGGTGTGGTCTGTGTGACCAGCTTTTCCTGCTGGGAGCTCTGAAAGTACTGGGATGCTCCTAGGAAATGAGGTTACACTGCCCTGGCCATGGGCTGTATCTTTTGAACATGATTTTTTTAAAGTTTTTTTTTTTTTTTTTTTTAAAAAAAAAAAAAAAGAGTAGTGTAGATTAAGGAACAATGAGGGACTTGGAGAGAAAAGTCTGGAGGAAATGGTTCTGTGCTATTTGGAAGGAGTGAATATTGTTCATCGTAAGGTTTTGGAGGAATATCTGGTTTATGTTTGTCTTCACTTGTCCTTGCAGCACAGGAGTGGGAAAGCTGTTGAACAGCATTTTCAGGAAGAGAACTAATTGCTATGAGGTGGATTTGAAGTCAGGTTTGCAGTGAAACTTTTTATTTAAATAGTGAAAAAGGGGAGATGCAAAGGTCATGTCAGGAGCAAGTGTTTCTTTAGCTGTCTGGTGTTGTTGAAGAGATTCTGTAGGTTGTTCTAGTCAGTATTTCTCCAATGCCAGGTTCCTGCTGTCTCTGGTTTGTGTTCCCACCCCAACTTCAGGCCATATTTCAGCAAAAGTGTAAATATATATTGAATTTTATCTATTCAGTGATGCTTGTAAGTGTGCAGTATGAAAGTGTGTGCTGAGGACTTGTTGAATGTGGTCAGACTTGTAGATGTTTCCTGTTACACAAGGATGGAGCAGTGACCTCAGGCTGAGAGAGTTGGGGTGTCCAGCCTGGAGAAGAGAAGGCTCCAGGGAGACCTTAGAGCAGCTTCCAGTGCCTGAAGGGGCTCCAGGAAAGCTGGGGAGGGACTTGGGACAAGGACAGGGAGTGAGAAGAGGTAATGAATGAAAACTGGAAGAGGGGAGATTAGATGAGACATGAGGAGGAAATTCTTTAGTGTGAGGATGGTGAGAGCCTGGCCCAGGTTGCCCAGAGAAGCTGTGGCTGCCCCATCCCTGGCAGTGTTAAAGGGCAGGTTGGATGGGGCTTGGAGCAGCCTGGGCTGGTGGGAGGTGTCCCTGCCCATGCAGGGGGGTTGGAACTGGATGACCTTTAACGTCTTTCCAACCCAAACCTCCAGGGTTCCAAGGTTATAGGATTCCATGGTTCTGTGTCTCAGTTCCCTCTGGCTGTGGCCAGTGTTGCTGGCAGGGACCAAAGTGCATCTGTTGGGCAGGTTTTGGCAGACTGACCTGAGCTCCAGGGCAGGACCAGGCTATGTCTGCTTCTGCTAAAACCCAACAGGCAAAGGCAATGGAGAGGAACCAGGATTTCTGGAAGAGCAGAGGTGGGTTTTATTTTGCTTCAAACCATTCAATGATTCTATGAAGACCTTGCTTCTCCCTGCAATGTGTGCAGTCATTGACAGCAGGGCAGAGTGGGTGCATCATCCTGTTAAATCAAAACCTGATGCCTGATGTCAACTTCTCTGGGTCTGTGCAACTTCAGGGGCTAGGAAATTCCATATCTTTGTTTTGTCAAATCTGAAGTCATACAGATTTGAAAGTCTGGTGCTTGTTTGTAGGGAATTGATGGCACTTCCACAGTCAATCAGCTGCATTCTGCACACTTCCTAAGAATGGGGGGGGAAACTATGTGGGATTTTAATTTTAACTTTGTGGAGTTTTCGTAAAATTCATGGCACTTTCTGGAGTAATGCAGTTATTCCTTCCCCTAGGGCAGTGCTCTAATTTACCTTGTTTGGGTTGCCTTTGTGGCAGCTAGAGCAATTCTTGCCCTCTTGCTTATTCAGTTGATCTAATCACCAGCCACTGAAGTTATTTGACTGCCCTGGTGGGATTGCACAGTATTTAAATCAACAAATATTGAAGGCCTAGTTCAGCCAGGTGCCTAGTGCTGAAACCTCCATCTGTGGTTAGGGAGCTCGTTTTTTGTTTTCTTCTGGCACTGACTTTGCTGAAATAATTGTTTACATGGTCACAGTGCAGTCTTTTACAGACACCAAATGCAGGAAGAGGAACAAGGATTGAAGGAATAAGGACACAGCTGTTGGCTCCCTCTGCCCAGCACTTTTCCACTAGTTAAATAACAGTGAAAAAATGAACACTTTATCTTCTCCCAGAGTTGTTGCTATCCAAAACAAACCCTTGTGTGTCTTACCAGAGCTTTCAGTGCACAGAGGGTGGTCTGGGTGGTGTGAGAGGGCAGTGATGGAGGTGGTGGCTTTGGGTCATGATTGGAGAGCCACTCCATTGCTGCCTGCTGGAGGTGGGGTTTCTGCTTCTGCCCTCCTGTGTGTGCTCCAGCAAGCACCCATGTGCTCTTTTTTGGAGGTCTTGGGGCTGGTTTGGGAGTCTCTGAGCTGGCAGAGCCCATCTGGAAGGCCATTCCAGGCTGAGCTGCCTGGGTTTGGGGGATATGGACCACTTGGTGCAGGTGTAGCAGGAAGAATGGCCAGAGTTGAACCCCAGGGAAGTGTAGCCACTTGTCATCGGGTTTTGGAGGCACTTTCCAGTAAGATGCTTCGTGTCCAACACCTCTGGCTTTCAGTTGGAAATGTAGGTTAGGACCTTGTGTAATTTATGGTTAAGACTAGGCTGGAGCAAGTCTCGGGCTACCAAGGAAACCTGTGAATGCCTTGTGCCAGGAAGTGTTGAAGGGCAGGTTGGATGGGGCTTGGAGCAGCCTGGTCCAGTGGGAGGTGTCCCTGCCCATGCAGGGGGTTGGAAGGAGATGAAAGTCCCTTCCAACCCAACCCATCCTGTGATTCTGTGGAGTTGAACCTTGCAGCAGGTCTTTTAGACCCACCTGAGCAGAGCCCTGGGTGTCCTGGTTTGAATTCAGTGTTGGCCATGATTCAACCCAGGGATTGGATCGGAGGGTCTGAATGTATTGTCCAGTTCTAGGAGGGCCTTCAGTTTTCTGCTGGAATGTTTGTCTTTAAATCCCAGATGAGCACCAAAACTTTGCTTCTAGAGGCTAGATCTGCAAATGCTGCTTGTGCAGAAACAGGTGTCAAATAGATCTTTAGGTCAACTCACTGGTCAGGAGATGAACTGAATGAATGCATTAAAAAGGGGGTGGGAACAAGAGGAGGGTAGGCCCTCAAGTAGTTGAAGGGAGATTTATTTTCCTCACTTGCTACAAACTGGAAAGCGAATTTGGTGCTTTCTGGGAAGAGCTGTCCTGGTGAGCTGCACAGAGCTGCTCCTCAGCCTCCCCCAGCCCTGCTGGTGTTGACACTGAGCTGTGGGTGCTCAGGGGCAGGCAGCAAAGCCCTGCAGAGCTCACCTTGGAACCATCAGCCCAGCTGTGTTGCACTGGACATGTTGAGATGCAGGGTCTTGGTTCCTCTTCACCCTTTAGCCTTGCATCAGGTTTTTGCCAGGTCAGCAGGGACGTTCAGAGCATTGTTTTCCTGGAGTGCTTGGGCTTTGAGAGCAGTGTGAAGTGGGATGGTGATATCCATTGTGCTGCTCTGGCTTGCCTGCCTCTGGGAGGAAAACAAAGCAAGGAATCCCTAACAGCAGATTGATTTAATCAGCTTCCTGATGGTGCCAGTGAATTGTTATCACTCCTGCTTGCCTGGGGAGCTGCTAGCATGGCATGTCAGAAACCTGTTTGTGGTGTTCAGACTTGGATTTTTTTCAGCTCAGGTCTGAAATCTCTGATGGGACAATTTTACTGATGGGGGAGCATAGAATTGTCTGGAAGGGAGGGAAAAAAACCCACCCAAAACCTTTTTATATGAACACTCCTGTTTTTTCTGTGCTTGAGCTTTTAGTCTGCAAAAATCTTGCTGCGTTTGAGTCATGTTATTATTTTAGTCTAGCATTGCATTGAACATCCTTCACCCCTGTGTTTACTCTGGCTGTTGCCTCTGAAATGACACTGGGAATCCTGCTCCTGTGCTGCTTCATCCCAGTGAGGAGACTGGACAAGATTGCCAGGAGAGCTGTGGCTGCCAGGGAGTGATTCCTTGCCATGTTCCAGGTAGTGGCCAAGCCCTGATGGAGACATTTGGCTGCTGAGCTGTGTCTGTACCACAAAAGCTCTCCCATACAGCCCTACCAGCAAGCTTGCCTGGTGTCAGGCTGGCATTGTGAAGGGCTTTGCCAGAGATCTGAAGGGGGAAGATGGGGCAGTGTTTTGTTTGACATGTGAGGTGCTGACATATGGTCCAATAAATGTAGTTTTTGGAAAAGCTAAAGATAATATTTACCTTGAAAAATCCATAGTTGGGAACAAATGGCCACATCTGCAGCTGAGGGAAGTGAGAATGGGTGCTCAGCTTTCCACTGAGCCACCCTCCCCAGTTTTCACTCTCTGAGGATCCAGGCAAACTGGTCAGGTAGGTGAGAGAGCAAGTTAAATAGACAAATCTGTGTGTGTGCCTATATAAATCAAGCAGTTTCCTGGGGGAGAGGTTTGCTCTTCATTAGCCGCTGCAAGTAGCTGCACCTTCTCTTTGGAATTTTGATACTGCTTGTGACCCTTTTCTTTCTCCCCTCTTCCTCCCTCTCCCTCCAGGTTTTAATGCCATGGCTGCAGATGAAAGTGCTGCAGAAAAGCAAACGGGGGAACCAAAAGTGGCAGTAGATGGTGAAACCAACGGTTCCTGTGAGCACAGCGAAGCTGGGAGCCACCCAAACCCAGCTAAAAACACTCAGGACAATACGAAAGTGAGCCAGCAGGACTCTAGTACTAAGTTAAATAGGATAGCAGAAAATGGCATTTCTGAACGAGATGGTGAGACTGGGAAGCAGAACCACATGAAAGCAAATGACTTCACACAGACTTCTGTCACGGGGAGCAATGGATATATTCTAACCAAGCAGATGGCACAGGAGCAACCTCTAAGGACTACCAGCACCTTTGCTTCTCTCGCTGGCCATGCTGCAAAAACCCTTCCAGGAGGAGCAAGCAAAGGGAGAACTATGGGCTCCTTTTCTCAGATGCAAGCCACGATGCCAGCCAAGCTCGGGGAGGGCAGTAAGGACATGGATGCTAAAAAAGCCACTGCTGCTAACGCTGAAGTCAAGGTCCACAGAGCACGGAAGACGATGCCTAAACCCACCCCTAGCCTGGTAATGTATCTGCCCAGCAGGCAGTGCTGCTGCTGAGATGGCTCTTGGCTTTCTTGGAGTGTGGGAGAGGGATACCTGACTGCATGGGAACACATGGAATTCTGACATGTCCCACCAAGTGGATTGTTTTTTAAAATACATGTGTATATATATGTATCTGTCCTCATCTTAAGAGAGGCAGAGGTGTTAAAATAGTCATATGGCCACCATCAACTGGCTCTCTTCCCCAGTTGTTTCTAAATATATAATTGATCAATTACTTTCTCCAGCAGCTCTGTGTGAGACACTAAATGGCCTTTCTCTCTGTACTGCTTATCAGCTGTCTGCTGAAATCCAGAGCTGCTTGTGAAACAAATTAGATTTCTTAAAAGTTCGACCCAAAGGAAATTAAGCATAACATGTTAACTTGAGGCTTCTCCTCAGCTTGGAAGCTGTCAAGAAGCTGTTTTGTTAGGCAACTTGATTGCATTGCCCTATCATTAAAGTAGTAAGGCAGGTGATGTTTTATCTCACTCTGTGTTGCCTGCAGTAATGCAACTTGTTCATAAATCTTCCCTCCAGAATCCTTAGCGGTGGATTTACCATCACTTAATACATCAGAGCTCTGCCTTTTTTTAGGAAGCAAAAGGAGATGTGAAGCCATCTGGTGTGTTCATGTTATAGTGGGGTGAACAAAAACGGGCCTTTCTTGGTCATTGGCCAAGTTTGGTTCTTTTTCTAGTTCTTTTGCCAAAGGTAGGGAATAGATACTGGAACAGGCAGGTCTCCAATGAGTGCTTGGTCTCCAGCCCTGTGACACTTCATGTGTGTGGAAGTATCATATATATGTCATTTAACACTTCATGCTCACTACAATGAACTGGATCCTGTCCTTGTGCTCTGTCAAATGATGGGGGGAGCCTGGCCTTGAGGTTCCCAGCACCTAGGTCAAGGAGAGGACTCTGTGCCCTGCTTGGCACACAACGTACCCGGAAAATAAAGGGGGAGCTGCTGCAGCTCTGGGAAGGTGGGTGCCATGGGTTGTTGTTAGCTACAAGTGGGTTAAAGACCAGAACATGCAAAGGGATCCTCAGATGTCACCCACATGTTGGCAACACAGCAATAACATGACGTGGAGGTCTCAAAGCTGTGGGTAGCTGTGGTCTAGAGCAGGGGAAGAGAGAAAGAGAGAAAAACACACAGGAAAAAGGTGGGTGGCACCTTGCCAGCCACAGATGGGGAAAGGTGCCCTTGGCTGCGGCACCACCTGTGCCTGCGGAAGCAGGTGGGAGTCCAAAGAGCACATCAAGATTACAGACCTCGTGGGCACCCAGCCTCAACAGTAGGGCAGAAACCACGCCTGCCACCATTTCCCAACCATCCTCCCAAACCACTAATTTCCCCTCTCTCTTCCCCTGATTGCATTTGAATTCTCTTGCTCTCACACCCCTGCTGTGCTTCCTGACTGACAAGTGGGAAGCCCCGATGCAGTAACGTGCAGCCTGGTGAAAATCCCACCTGAGGCTCCTCTATCCCAGGCTTTGTAACCCAAACTGCCTTGCAGCTTTCCTCCAGCAGCCTGTTGTGTGCTTAAACGAGGCCAGGCAAACCCCCAGACCCTGGTGGAATTTGACAGGGAGAGATCCCTTGGGGCTGAGCAATCGAAAGAGGCAATTCCCTTCTAAAAGACAACTGCTAGGTTAGGAGGGAGTGTTTTCTCATTCATATTTTATGATACATCAAAAGAATATTTTTACACAGCCCCTTGGGCTTCAAGGTTTGTCTCTAGACAGCTGAGTGCAGCGTTTGTGGATGCTGCCATGCTCCCTTACACGGGTTGCTGTGATGGTGCCTGTGATGGTTATTTGTTCACACAGTAGCAGCAGCTTCAAAAACCAAAGATGCAGGCGTTGAGCTGCTCTAGAGCGTGCACAGCCTGTCCTCAGC